TTTTTGCACTTGTGAGGCAGATAGCAGAACCACAAGCTAAATTCCCGGTCCAAGATGTGTTTTTTATATAATGGAGCACTACTCGGCCAAGAGGGAGGATGATCTCGAGACATTTACAACTAAATGACTGCGCCTTGAAACCATACCCTTAAGTGGAATACATCAGACACACATGTTTAAATACCACCACTGTTTCTCTGGTGTGAGAAACTACAGTGAAATAAGGACTAAAATGTACAGTAGAGGGCCGAGGATTTAGCTCTGCGGTTCCACCACCTGTCTCACAAGCACTACGTCCCGAGTTCGATTCCCAGTACAAAACAAAACAAACAAAATGTATAGCAGATCCTGAGAAATGAGAAGAAAATATTCAGGTGAGGAGGGGAGAGGGGGAAAGGAAGGGACAAGAAAAGAGTGAAAATAGAAAAAATAGAAACAAAGCTTTTATAAATAAGCAGGGGAAGAAGGGTCAAGGGGGAGACGGGAAAAAAAGCAGCAAGATATATCAGGTACAAATTCCCTACGATAAGTGTTATCATTTATGTATATCTAAAATATACCAAGAAAAGAAAACAAACCCAGGTGCTAAGCTGGGCATGGTGTCTTGGGAAATATGCAGTTATGTATCGACAGGCCTGGGAGGCTGAAGCAGGAGGATCTCTGTGAGCTCAAGGCCAGCCTGAGCTACATAGTGATACGCTGTCTCAAAAAAACTAATCAATAAATAAAATGCTTTTTTAAAAAGCCTACGTCGTGGAGCTTGAAGTGTGGCTAAGTGGGAGAACATATGCTGCATAGCCCTGGGTTCAGTCCCTGGTACAAAAAGAACAAGCCCAAGTGTGAATATTACAGCTGCTTATTTTTCCCCTGGGCAGCCCGAAGAGCCGACCTCTCAGGGTGGTGAATGGGTAGATGTCAGAGAGACTGGCTCAGGCCTGTGGGGGACAGACCCCTTTCACTTCTCTCTACCCAAGATTGCAGCTTCAGCCCCTGGAGTCCTACTCCCAGGCCCAGCTGCATTGGGAGGCAATGTAAGCATAGTGGCTGTGTCTTCTGGAGCCACACTGCTTGGGCATGAAGCCTGGGCATACCTGACCTCAGCAATCTGGAAAAGCACAGGGGCACATGAGCATGGAGCCCAGCAGGCAGATCAAGGAGACATCAAGGCTTCTACAGCATGGTTTTCGAAAGAGCCAGCAGGCTGAATAACTTATGGCCTGCTGTTGTGTCCCAAACGGGAACCTGTAGCCTGCAAAGACTGCAGGCTCTGGAGCAGCTTGATGATTAGCACACACAGCCGTGCTTCAGATCGGGTTATTTTTTGTTTTTTGTGTGTGTGTTTTGCTTTTTTGAGACAGGGTCTCACTATGTAGTTGAGACTGAACTGCAACTCACTATGTACCCCAGGCTGGTCTCCAACTCACAGCGATGCTCCTGCCTCAGCCTTCTGAGTGCTGGGATTATAGGCGTGCACCACCACGCCCGGCCTTGTGGTTCAGATCTGTATTGCTGTGTTGGCAGGACCTGAGGTACAAGACCTGGCCTCCCCGAGCCTCAACTTTCTTCACCTCTAAAACAAACAGAGCAGTCTCTTCCTCCCCTGTCCTCACCTTGGGCAGCCACAATGCCAGCACTTCCATGCCCTGGTTTGTTGTCTCTGCCATGGTTCTTCAAGTGAAGGCCTACCTGGTCCCACGTGCACACTCGAGATCTGTGGCTCAGTTAAACGACTGGCCCAAGGTGCACCACTGCTGGTGGGACAGCGTGGCTTCCAGTCCAGCTGCTTGCAAGGCCTGGGCTGTGTGTGCTGCTGTCTGCAGCCAGGCTGCCTAGCTGAGTGAGAAAGCCTGCTGCATAGCCCCGAGGCTTGGCTCCCCACCCCATCTGTAAAGTGGGGAGAGTAATGATGGTGACTTCAAGATGTGTAAACTGTTCACCAAGTGTCAGTTATGCGATGTTAAATTCTCAGCAAATATCAGTGGTTTCGTGGTCAATGTCGCATCTGCAACTGACGGGAGCCATTAAAAGCAAAGAGCATTCAGTGGCCAAGTCCCCCCAGTCTCAGCGCTGCCAGAGGATGCAGAAAGGATCCTCAGTACAGGGAGCAGGAGGCTGTCGGAGGTACAGAAAGGACAGAGGGAGGGGGAAGGACAGTATGGTGGTCAGGGGGCCTCTCACCTTGAAGTTCTTGCCCCCCAGGGAAACCATGTCGCTCTCCTTTCCGATGGTGAACTTGTTGGTGACGAGGTGGCCCCCAGAGTAGGACTGCGCCCAGGTGAAGTCCTGCCCATCCTGCTGCACCTCCGTGATGACCTTGGAGTTACGACCCTTCTCAAGAATGTCACTGGGGAGACCTGCGCTCCGAGAAAAGCAGAGGGACCCCATAAGAGCTGCTGGTAACCCCGTGGTCTGGAGAAGATAGGGTTGCTGCCCAACAAATATGTCAGTGAATGAATGAACGAATGAAGTCCTGTGTCACTCTACCCCCAGAGGCCTGGCTTCCTGGCGCCCCTGACGGCAGGCTTAGGGCTCACTCACCCAGGCGCTTCATGAACTCGTCGTAATTCTTCTCACTCTCCGCCTGGAACTTGCCATGAAAAGCCATGCTGCAGGGAAAGCTGGAGTCTGAGAGTAGCAAGCAAGATGAGGAAGTGGGCTGATGCTGAGGGCCCGAGTGCCAGTTTATAAACTCTCCTCCACGCTGCGGAGGCTCAGCCCCCTCATCAGCCCATTCTCCTTCTGCCCTGAAGAGGAAGTGCCTGCTGTTTTACGATGTGGGCAGAGCCCTGAGGTCCTTCACCCGGGAACATCACCCGGGTAATCCCATCGCCTACAGGGTCAGGGCCAGGCGACCGCAGGGCCGGGGAGTCATTCACCCTTGTGTCAGCGCAGGGCCTGCCCTGTCCCCATCCCCTCCTCTCTCCATTCACTCCCTCCTTCCTCGCAGTGCATCCAGCACCCACGCGTGAGGCCCTCCGCGCAGGCTCCATGAACACGACGACATGTGCTCTTCCCAGAAGAGCTCCGAGCCAGCCCAGGGACGAGGTACACAGGGCAGGAGAGAAAAAGACGCTGGGCTAGGATGGGAAGGAGCCATGGAGCCCAGCAAGGGGCTCGTGTAAAAGACCGGTGGGATTTGGAGGAGCAGAGAGATGGTTTCCAGGCCGAGCCAACAGGGTGACGGGGGCGGGAGGGCCGTGAGGAACGGAGTGGACGCCTCAAGGTTTCGAGATAACCAAACCAAAGCAGCAGCCAGGAACCACGGCGGGCACCTGGAAGGAGGCACCGCAAGGACTGCTGTGTGCCAGGACTCGGGGGTTGCCACGTCCGGGCTTCATGGCGGAAGGGGCTGTGGACTTCCGCTTCCTGTTCCGTTTCCGGGACCCGCCCGCTGCGCTGGCTGCCCCGGCTCGCGCTGTGCTCACGCCGGAAGTGCCCGGCAGAGGCCCTCAACCCTGCTGTTTCTGTTAATCGCAGTCTCCACGAATCCCACATCGTTTCCAGCGTCTCTTCTCCATGAACCTCCACCTTTTCTAGCCAAAGCACAACCCTGCTAACCGCTGGGACCTGGGACCAAATGGTTTCTGCTCTGATGAAAGAACAGTTTTGCCGCACTGCATCTCTCTTCAGTCATGGGTCTTGGAATTCCTTATCCGAGTACTCTTAGTCACACACACACAGATCTTTCTGGTGATAATTATGTACAATACATTAAAAATTCAAAGGGCCGGAGATTTAGCTCAGCGGTTCGCTGGCCTGCCTTGCAAGCGCAAAGACCCGAGTTCAATCCCCGGTAAAAAAAAAAAAAAAAAAAATTCAAGGACCGTGGAGTTAGCTCTGGTGCCACGGCCTGCATCAAAAGTGCAAGGACCCAAGTTCGATCTCCAGTACCAAAAATAAATTCAAGTTAAATTAGTACAAATGACTGCCCTGGCAGAGCTGGCCTCATTGAGGTTGGTGTTTTCCTTTCTAGGCCGTGTATGTGTGTGTTTGTGTGTGTGTGTGTGTGTGTGTGTGTGTGTCTGTGTGTGTGTACTTTCTAATAGAAATGGAATTACAGGGTCTGGGGATGTATCCTAGTGGTAGAACACATGCTTAGCATTCATGAGGCTCTACACTGGACTTCCCAGGACAACCAACCAAAATAGTTTTTTAAGAAAAGAGCTGGGTGCCTGGTCTGATGGTACATGCCGGTAATCCCAGAACTCGGGAGGCTGAGGCAGGAGGATCGCCTCAAATTCAAAGCCAGCCTGGGCTACAGGGTGAGTTCAAGCCAGCCTGAATTGCATAGTAAAATCCTGTCTCAATAAAATCCAGAGGCCAGGTGTGGTGGCGCATGCCTGTAATCCCAGCACTCGGGAGGCTGAGGCAGGAGGATCACTGTGAGTTCGAGACAAGCCTGAGCTACATAGTGAGTTCCAGGTCAGTCTCACTACATAGTGAGACCCTGTCTCAAAAAACCAAAAAAATAAAAAATAATAAAAATAAAATCCAGAAAGATAATAAATAAATCACTCTAAATAAATTAATTAATCACTCTAGAGGGCTGGGTGTGTAGCTTAGTAACAGAGCAATTTCCTCATATGTACAAGGCCTGAATTCAATCCCCAGCACTGCAAAAGGTAAATAAATAGCTCTAGAGTATTCTTTTGTACATGTTTTATAATTTACTTAACTATGTCTGGATCTTTAGGTTGTTTCCAATCTTTTTTTAATTATAAATAACTCTGATGTAACTATTTTTCTTCCTACCTCTGAGCATACGTGTCAGATTACTTACTAAGATTATTTGCTAAAGATGAACCAAACATTAAAATCCTGAAACAGAGCCAGGAGTGGTGGCGCACACCTGTAATCCCAGCACTTGGGAGGTTGAAGCAGGAAGATCGCTGCGAGTTCGAGACCAGCCTGGACTACATAGTGAGTTCCAGGTCAGTCTCAACTATATAGTGAGACCCTGTCTCAAAAAACCAAAAAAAAAAAAAAAAAAAATCCCAAAACGAAGATTTTTTTTTTTTTTCACTACTGCGGATTGCATTCAGGGACTTCGCAGTGAGATACATTTCCGAGCCCTTTTTATTTTGAGAGAATTTCGATAAAATGCCCAGGCTGGACTCCACCTTCTCATCCTCCTGCCTCAGCCTCCCAGGGTTCTGAGATTACAGACATGTACCAGCAACTGCCTGGTCAAAGGATTTTTTTTTTTTATTGGTATCTGGAATCGAACTCCTCGGGTCCACTTGCTTGCAAGGCAGGTGGTGGAACCACTGAGCCAAATCCCCGGCCCCAAAAGAATTTTCTATTTAAAATTTTTCTGTTACTCTCTCACCTTTCAGAAAGACCACAGTGGTGTACATACTGTTAGAGTCTCCCCGCACTGATGATAATGATAGTAGCCATGACAATCATAGCTGGCATTTCTGGGTGTTTGCTATGCGTTTAGAGACTTCTGCGTGTCTTACTTATCTTGCGTCATTTACCCTTCAGACCGCCTTTACGGAATGGATACCATTATGGTCCCCAAGAAACAGATGGTGCTGTGGATCGTGCACAGGAAGTTGCCCCTGGCTGGAAGCTCCAACCTCCTTAGCCCCGCTTCCCTCGCCTTCCTCCTGCCCTGTTTGTCCCAGGCCAACATCAAGGACAGGATGGGAGTGGCCAGACCATTGGCCCTCACTGCCTCCCTGTGTGCTTCTGACCCACCTGCCGCCCTCCAGCCGCTCCTCCCAGGCTCACCTGCATGCTCAGGCCCCCATTCACAACCTCCCAGAGAGGTGAGTGAACTTGGGCTGCCTCCCTATCACAGGGAGGTTTTATAGGCCAATGAAACAATAGAGCAACCCTACCCTTGGAGATAAGAAGGGTCCCAAGGCTAATCAACCCCCGCACCGGACTTCCCACCTGGACTCTGGATCCGGCCCCAAACAGCAGTGTTCTCCTGAAAGTCATACCTGAGGAAGAGTGGGGACATGCGTCAGAGGAGGGGCCTGAGCATCCTCCTGCCGCCCCTCCCAGGGCTGTGAGCGTGCAGCGTGGAGTGAGGAAACAGGCTGCTGATTCTGCCCGTCACCCAGTTCCACTCGCTCCTTTTTCCTCAGCCAAAATCTGAAATGTTCACTGGGATTGATTCTAAAATGCTATAATTCTGAGGGCAGTTTATTCCATCATGTTTTCCTGGTTCTACTCTCAGGATTTCAAGGCAGGCCGGGGGCGCAGGTCAGTGGCAGAGCCCTTGCCTAGCAGGTGGAAAGCCCTAGGTTTGATCCCCATCACCACACACACTCACACACACACACACACACACACACACACACACAAAGCTAAACGCTGAGAAATCCAGCCTTCCCCTGAAGTCTAGCTGCACTTTGTCCACAGTGAGAAACGGATGGAGGCTGGGGCCAGGCTGCCTGGGTTTGGATCCCAGTTTTGCCACTCACTGGCAGTGCGACCTTGGGCGAGTAATTTATCTTTCCTTATCGGTTTCCTCATCTGCAAAATCTGGGCTGGACCAACCTGAAAGGATGGGACCTGGATTAAATGAGCTCATTGTTTAGAGCCCTTTCTACATTGGCTGCTGCAGTGTGTGTCAAGTGAACGCTGGGCAGGCTGGCGGGGCCGGTCCCAGCTTCCTGCGGTGAGCATCTACTTCAGCTCTGAGCATCAAATACCCCACAGCTTAGACCTCCTTTTTGACCGCCAGGAGCTATTCCCTTCCAGTCCTCGTGCAGCCCATAGCCCTAAGTACCATCTAGGGCTGACAACTCCAGTTTTCCCCCTCTATCTCTCCATGCAGATCTCTCTCTCTGGACAGAGTAGGCAGTGGTGCCCCTCGGTGCACAAATTCTTTCCGCCATTCGGGACTCAGATCAAATTGGGCGAGAACTGAGTCCAAATCAATGGTTAGGTTCAACGTTGACCTTATGGGAAAATTTGATCTCTTCTTGTCCCATTTGATTTGCTACCAGAATCGTGAAAAAAATTAAATTCATTAAATTAAATTCATTAAATTCAGGGCCGGGAATTTAGCTCAGTGGTTCCACCGCCTGCCTTGCAAGCGCAGGGAGCCGAGTTCAATCCCCAGTAGCAAATAAATAAATAAATACATTCATTAACTTCAACGTACCACTGTATTTAACTTCCCACCTAACAGGTCCAAAAATTTAACATGTCCAAAGCTCTTGTTCTACCCTCAAAAGCCTGCTCTTCCCTTGGATTCTCCAACCTATCTGGTAGGGGAACGCTAGGCACCAAGATCGATCACAGAGCCAAGGGTGTAGCTCAGTGACAGAGCCCTTGCCTAACACAAAGATCTGGCTTCAATCTCCAGCACCACACAACGAACAAATAAGATCCATCGCCAAACTGCAGTGCCCAAGCCCTGAGTTCACATCAGTTACCATTCTGTTCTCCCAGCCCATCTGCTGCCTTGGTCCTGATATTTTCCCCACTATGCAGATGAAGAAACAGATGCTCAGAAATACAAGACCCAGGTGGTGGGAGGAGCAGTGTGGCTCCAGCTTGGTGCTGAAATCCTCCAACTAAAAACTACAAGCGGATCTGCCTGTGGCCTTCAGACTGATCCGGCTCTTGGAGACTGACTGCTCCTTCTGTACTTTGGGAAACCCCTGAGTCCCAGATGCTATGCTATACTACAAACTTGACAAGAAAGAAAGTGACTTGTCCAAGGTCAGTCATTGGGTTTGGAAGTGGCACTTTGTGCTGGTTCTCTGATGCCGGTCTCTACATCACGGTGAGATCCATAAGTCATGTGTCTATCAGGTCATTCATTTGGTCCATGTCTCCTGAGCTCAGGCGCTGGGCGGGGGAGTGAAAGCACGCAAAGAAAAGGCAGTGCCACCCCACTGCGTGATGCTTTCACCCACCCCCATCTACCCCGCTTAGCCTCACTTCCTCTCTCCCAGCCCATGGCTACATCATCTTCATGTCCCTAGGAAGAGCTGTACAGTGGAAGGGGACAGCAGTGCCCAACCTTCAGCAGGGTTTCTGAACACCCCAGTAGTCCATCCTCTCATCATGGTATTCAGCCAGCTCCCATTCCCAGGAGCAGATGGTCTGAAATAAACTTCACCTTCTTACCAAGTCTCCCTCTGCCTCCAGCCCCAGCCGTCACTCTTTTTTTTTTCTTTTTTTTTTTTTGGAGGGGAGTACTGGGGATCGAACTCAGGACCTTGTGTTTGCCAGGCAGGCACAGAGCCACTGAGCTAAATCCTCGCCCCCAGCTGGCACTCTTAGTGCCCCTATTGTAACTCACTGTATGGATTTGATACAATTTACTCAGACAGTCCCCATTTGTTGGGCAACTGGGTGAGGAAGACAAAAGGGCATTTGTAAAGAATAAATGCCACAGTAAGCAAAAGCCTTATTCACATGCTGTGTGAATTGTACCATTTGAGGTAAGAGGGTAAGCCAAAGCCCTTTCCACTGGATGTTCAGGGTCCGTAAACCAGGAGGGCAAACTGAGTGTTGACTATGTGTCACTAGTCCAGGGGAAGGTCAAAATTACACTCCAGCCAGGAGTGGTGATGCACACCTGTAATGTCAGCACTTGAGAAGCTGAGGCAGGAGGATCGCCATGAGTTGCAGGCCAACCAGGGCTACACAGTGAGTTCAAGGCCAACCTGAATTACATGGCAAGACGCTGTTTCAAAAA